CCAATAATTTTTCCCTCAATGTGATGCAGTTTTAACTGATATAAGAGACCCTGATTTGGCACCTTATCAAACGCCTTACGTAAATCTAGATAAACAACATTTAAACTATTGCCTTACGTACCTGACTAGTAACATGCTCCATGAAGTCCAGAGAAAATTTGTGAAACAGGATCCATTAGAAAGAAAGCTATGCTGACTGTTATCCATCAAATGATGCCTATCAAAGTATCACTGAATGCCAGTCCTAATGAATTTGTCTAATATCTTACATGATAGCGATCTTATCCGATGTTTTATCCTTACTAGATCTTGCTTCTGAGGTAAGATTGACAGGCCTGTAGCTGCTGACACGTTTTGGTCCCCTCCTTAATTAACGTCACCTACATGGGCATTGCGCCAGTCCTCGGGGTGCTTCTCAGAAACTTACTGACGTATTTCATTTTGTCATAACAGGATATATATTCGGTCAGGTCGCCGTTTCGGTTTCGGGTTTTCCTCGAGGCCACGTAATGTCAGCAAACAACAACTTGGAGCCTTCTGGGGGTCTATTTTTCGAAAGGCCCAACTAGTCGCGTTTCTAGCGCATTGCTAAGAGCGTATTTTCCGCAACGGATTTTTAAGGAGAATTTAAGTAAGGTACATAGGCCAACCATTGGTCAAGCCTTCCCATGCATCGCTGTCATTGATAACATGTGGCTAACGTTAGAACCTCAAAAGTGGGACCCGTTGCTCTTTGTCCCTAAGTGCATATTTGATTATTTATTTGTGAAGATATCATAATTCGATTAGAGATCGGTTTTAATTAGAAGATCTTAAGCACAGAACAGGCAGCCATCCAGAGCCGTTCAGGTTTCGAGCGTGCTGTGGGGTCACCCAAGAAGCAAATTTCATCTGATGCCAAGGAATGCATGTTTCCAGGCATGTAGCACCTCATCCATTGTTCCAGGTTTGCTGAAAAATTGCCACATGCGCCGTCCCTAAATTACATTACGCCCCGTCGGACATTTTCCATGTTGGTCGATTGTGCTGGGCGAAATCCCCTATGGCTCGTGATTACGCTGTGTTAAGTGTAGCGTCCCAAAAATGTAACATTCATCAACCTCCTGACTTAGCTAGAGGTATTAAACAAAGACGTACTTGCTGCTTTGCCTGAAAGGAAGCCAATGATAACCGGCTTTAAGGGTTCAAAGCATGTAACAAGCATGCAAGCATGCTCTTCAACCACACCTAAGCGTAACGTCGTCCCGTCCCCCCCCCCCCCCCCTCCCGCATCCGAGGCACGATTAAACGCCCTTGACGCCTTAAAACGCCCTTGGTGTCACAGAGTGTCGTTTGATACCCTTGACGCCCTTGTTACGCCATTGTGTCCGGAAAACAGGTGAACGGTAATGTATGGACGGCCATGCAAGGATTTGAAACGCTATAAACATTTTGCCCTCTTGCAGGATTTTGGCGAAGTAGCCAGAAATCCCAATGTCTGGAGCATCCTGATTGGTGTCAGGGCATTTGTCAGACGAAATTTAGTGTCTGTAGCATTCCCCGTTGTATGTTTTGGCTCTATTGTTGCAGATACTCACACACAAAGGTGAGCAACACGGGCGTATCCTTTACACTTTTTGGGAGGGTGAAAATGTCACCCTTTCCTCTTTCTTTTCTTGATGTGAGGAGTTATGGGGGGTTAAGATTTAGGGTGTTAGTAAAGGAGGCGCAGGGGAGTAAGGGAAGGAGGTAGTTTATGGGGCCAAACGACGAGAGGATTATGGAGTGAGTTAAAGGCAGAGTTCGGTTGTTAAAAAGTGATGGAGGTAGTCGGAAGTAGAGGGGTAGCTAGAGTTATGGTGATGGTTAGAAAATTGTGGATGTACGAAGCTACGTGAAAAAAAATGTGGGATTTCGTAAAGAAGTTGAGTATATAAAATAAATAAAAAGGTAGGAAGATTTTTAGGTCATGACAAGAGATGGAATCAGAAAAAAAACAATGGGTATTCATAAGTGAGTTGGAGAGATGGAGTTATGAGGGTTATAATAGGGGTTGAGAGTGGTAAGACGAACTGGATAGTTGGAAAAGGAGTTTGGAGTTCAAACGTTTAGATGGCTCAGTTTGAGAGCGAGAACAAATTTGCTTGGCCAAAAATGGACGAAAATAATGTATTTTATGGAGTTATGAAATAAGTTTTTAGGTTACGGAAGGCTTGGGTAGCTGAGAATGAGGGAGGTAGTGAGGGACTAGTGAATAAGTTACGGAGTTCGTAAATAGGTATGAGAGTGAGTGGAGAAGCTATGGGGCTAGTTCAGAATTTAAAAAGAAAAGCATGGTATTACAAGTGCAGTAAAGGGGTTAGAAAAGAGGGCAAAGGAGACATGAAATAAGTAAGGGAGCTATGCCTAAAGTTGTGAGGTTATGAAAATGGTTTGGGGAGTGAGAAAAAAGGCAGGGAGTCAGTAAACGGAATCGGGGGTTAGGCAAAGGGCTAAGGAGTAAAAATGGAACACGAATATAGCAAGGAATTGGAAGTTAAAAAGCTGGGTTGCGAAGTTAGAAAGGTGTGAAAACGGTTAATGCAGTTGGTGTTTGGGAGGGAGACAGGGAGCTGAGAAGCTGACAAAAGATGGGGGATTAAAAACAAAGCTTAGGAATAAGAAAATAAGTTGGAAGGCTAGGGTATTGGTTAGAGATTTAGGGAATGGATGGGGGGGGGGGGGGGATTGGAGAGCCTGGGGGATGAAAGGAGACGTGGAAGCGGGTATGAATGAAGAGAGGGAAGTTGCGGTTGGCGAGAAAAGAGGGGAAAAGTAGTAAATGAATAAGGGTTTGAGCGAAGGGAGTAATGAAAGAATTGAGGGAAGGTGTAAGGAATGGAATGATATAGACAGGAAAACAGAGAGAGCATTGCATGTAGCTCATGTATGTAAGTACGTAATGTAGTATGTAACTGAAAATGGTTAAGAATTTGAAAGTCGGTGCAGTTGTCGTTTCCTTATTCACATGGTGTTTTGCGTCTGCGATTGGCCCTTTCCTCCGTTATTTTCACATATATTGGGCTCGTATAATGACCCGTTGGTAGAAGGGCGGGGTGGCGAGAGGCACGTAGGCTTTGACAACAATATTCTGGCTGAATGCCGGTAACGTTCGTGCAGGGTCATTGTTAGTTGGGGCTGAAGAGACGCTCATTTGTTTACAAATTTGTCGTCTCTCTGAGAAACTGAAATTGACTGCGTATGCATGGTATTCTCGTCTGGGTAAACTGACGCTGTTGTATGTTTGGCCAGGCTTGGAAAGCAAGCAAGAAGGCAGCGCAAGACCCTGCTGTTCTATCTGACTGAGATGCTGGCTCCAATCGTGCGTCATCCGCTGGTAGCTGCCTCGCCGCTAGCCTGTTCCCTGTTCTTCACCAGGTTGATACCTCGACCAGATGGACGACGAGCATGTGACCTTGTTCAGAGGCAGGTCAATGCTGCATGGCTGGCAGCTGGCGCCAGACAAGAGGCCGCCGTGGTTTTGTGGAATACATAACCATGTGCAGAAGTCGCTGGTGTTCGGCTAGCAGCTGTGAATGTTGTTCTTTGTTTTTTTAAGGGTGTATGTAATATATGAGTGAGAGTTGTTCACCCGTATGTCGTCGTCCTTGCGTTAAATAACACGTTTCAGCGGCGAAGGTGTGTACCTGTCGTCTGAGAAGAGTGGAAACGAACTGAAATAATTGCTTAGAGATTGTGGCCATTCTTCACCATGGTCTCACATTTTATGTCTTATTAAAGCAGTTGCACCATGGTCGTCTTGCCTTGAAAGCGATCAAGGATCATTTGAGCATCCAGCCATTTTCCGGGTATGTGCACTCATGTTTTGCTTTCCCTCTCCATTTCTGGCACCCATTCGCCCGTTTGCTTGTGGAGAGCGTAATGGACAGTCAGTAAGATCATGTGTATGGATGAGCTGGTGAGTTCAAACTCGCTAGGTATGCTAATTGAGAGGTCAAGATATTTTATTTACAAGGTTATATACAATGCTTATGATATACAGGATTTCAGGGTATTTGCGATGACGCATTTCCTTACAAAAGACCTTCCTTTCGTTGCACGCGATGTCGCGGCACTGAGGGGCTTCTCTGTCATCACGCAAGGACACGTTCTGCTGGAGGACCCGCTTGACTCTGTTTTACCCGCTAGCACTGCTTATTTGCACGAGCCTACGGTGGCATACTGACGCCCTGCGGAGCCGCTGCATTGGATTTTGATCGGTTGGAGCGGGGAGGGGGAAAAGGACGTGACCGCCAGCGGCAGCCGTGTCCAGTGTGCAACGACCGCCAGCTGGTCGTTCCGGTTCGCGCCGAGAATGGAACGTGAGCGGGACGCGCCCGGGAAAGGCAAGGAGGTAAAGGAACCGACACCAAGACCAGAGCTGTCTTGCTCGCCGATACCTAAACAAAGCTAGGGGAATTTTTCAAGTAGCGAACTGAAGCCGAATGCCCATGAAAGCGGCGACGCAAGGAGTCTCCAGCAACTAGTATCTAAAAATACGTACCCAGATGCCTGCGCACCGATCGCGCCGATTCAAGGTCCTTAACAGGCCGGTTTGCCCCTTGGGTTAGCCGCAGAAGCGGCAGTCATTAATAGTTCCCAGTGTTAAATAAACGCACTAATCCTTGAACTATTACCGGAAGGATGATTGCACTTTACTGGTGGGTAAGAACTCCTGTCCGTAAGTCACGGGAACCAGAATTACACATTGCAGCGTGAATATACACACTTGGGCTGCTGGTGTAGCATGCGGACATAGCCATGCAACCAATGTATATTTTGTATCATAGTTATTCGCTTCAGGCTTTATTTCACGCATTGCTGACGGTGGACTCTTATGTTTGCGTTTCATGAATCTGTTGCATTACTTTAGTGGATAGTCACTAGAAGCGTCAATACCCAACGAGGTTGGCATGACAACAGTACGTAAACAAACCAGCCGCTTCGGTGAATCCTTCGGGTTGCGGGACGTGGGTTGAATGCGGGAAGTAACATTGAGATCTGCATTGCGGTGACCGTGTGGGGTTGCAGCCGTACGTATCCCATTACAGGTGAGAATAAAACGTGACTTGGGCTTGAATAGTTTGAGAAACCCACATTTTTGTGTCACTTTGAGACGGCAATGGTTCAATATTTTGGTGAACTAGATGATCAGCACCGGTTCACCTCGTACTGCCTGATGCCATCATTTACCAAATGACCCATCCAGCCATCAAGGATTAAATTGTGGTGGATTTTAACAATGTCATTTGGTTGCAGCTATCTCAATTTAGTGCATGTTGCAGATTTGGAAATATCATACCCTGTTAAATAGCTCCTGTGTATGTCACTTTTCACTTATTGACAGTATTTTAAAACAGCACTGCTGGTGGGATGTACTATGGTTCAAGGAAATGAAATGATTAATCTTTAAATGTCATTCGCTGAGCTGACCCATTTCAAAATGCTCACCTTTATAGCCATCTTGACATGAATGTCTCATTTCTGGGTACCTGATAGTTGGGCTTTGCATTTTTTATTATTTTACAGGTCATGCACTCCAGGATGTACCAATTTCCCATCCCAAGCCCACCTTTAAGCCCACCCCCACCACCGCACCCATGCTGTCCACCCTTATACCTACACCCACCCCATGCATGCCCATGCCCACACTCACAACCACTCCCACACCCATGGCCACAACCACAACCACAACCACAACCACAACCACAACCACAACCACAACCACAACCACAACCACACTCACAACCACAACCACAACCACAACCACAACCACAGCCATACCTGCAAGCAAAACTACACCTGCACCCACATCCACAACCAGTACCACAACCACAACCACAAATGCAAACACAAACACAAACACAAACACAAACACATACACATACACATACACATACACATACACATACACATACACACATATTTGCATATATAGAACCCATATGGCTGTAGGCATAACAACGCCCTGGTAAATACCGAGCCATGAGAGCTTTTTGCGGTCATCAGGCTGTACAACCCAGGTGTCTCTGTAAACACGCCCGCAGTCGTTAATGCCTGTTACTGTGATGCACGATAACCACGATCCCTGTGATCGGTCTAAGGTGTGGTGCATGTGCGGGTAAGGTGTGGTGCATATGCTACATAATTGAGATGGGTGTGTTCGTTTTAGCACACCTTTGAGGACTTCCTGAGATATGGACGAAAATGAGCCTTCTAGCGATTATGAGGAGTATACGTCCGAGACGGGCGGGACATCGACAGAGGACACCAGCTCTGGCTCAGAGAGCACCGATTATGAGACGGCGGATGCTGCATCGACCAGTAGCACAGGAAGGCGCGCTGGCCAGAACAATCTGGATAAACCTGAAGCATTTATCGGATATGACGAAATGGTTACTGGTACTGCGTGTACCCGTCAGAACAATCCAAGCGCACGGTTGCGTCCGGGTCACTACGACTCTAACCCTCGTGCAAATCATGCAAACAAGGTGACTGTAAGTGCAAACGGCGTAGCCACGCAGCTATCGTCCATGCACTTTGATTCACTCATTCAGCAAAACCCAGACACACACAGTTCAGATCTCCCAGAGGTCGTTGAGCTACAAAGAGGTAAGCTGAGCAAATATAATCAGCTGGCACACTCAAGTACTCCGATGTGTAAAATTAAAGAAGAAACGAGTGGCAATGCCTCGCTTTCGCTCAACGAGTGTAGTCTTCCGGGGATGGGATCCGGCACGGCTGTCGTTAAAAAGCAGCGTAAGCACCACACTGATGCATTTTCGAGCCTCGGTGATGACATGGCGAACTTAACAGACCGCGGAGAAGCCAAGAAGATAACCGGCGTGGACTGCGCAGAAGTCGATGCTGACGCAAGAAAATATAGAGGCCAGCCAGTGGTGGACTGTGGAAATGATCAGCATTCATTGAAAGAGGCAGAAGCAAGAGAAAATCTGGCTGTGATTGACGGTGCCAAGTCGGCGTCACGTCGGGCGCTGAAGACGGCCGGCAGGCGGCGCGCCTCCGCCAGGGCGGCGCCACCGGTTCGGTTCGAGGTGGAGCTGCAGTCGAACTGGGGCAGCGAGGAGCGGGTGGGGCTGTCACAATTCTGCTTCTTGGACGGTCACGGCAGGAAAGTGCAGGTGGCGGCGCAACGTGACCTGGTGTCCGTGACGGGGGTCAGTGACCTGGCGAGCACGAGGACCGTATCGAAGCTGTTCGGTACCAGCGATCAGGTGGGCGGCAGCGGCTGGACGTGCCCGTTCAACTCCTCGCCCGTGTCGCTGAAGCTTCTGCTGTACCCGACTGACGGGAAGATCAGCGCAGTGAAAGTTCGGAACTACGGCAGCAGCGTCCGAGAGCAAGGCATCGGCGTACGTGACATTCAGTTGCGTATGGATGGCAGGCTGGTATACAATGGTGAGCTGCGTAAGGGTAATAGCCAGCCATCGGTGATCAAGGTAGCCTCACCTGGCTGCCAGCCAGAAAGAAGGGTTCAATCCGCGCGAGAGAGTCCTCCCCTCTGGTTCCCCGGCGGCGACAACAGACTCATCGAGCTATCCAGCGAAGAAGAGGATGAAGAGTGTCCCACACCGAACCCTCCCACCCAAGCCACGAACGCTGAAGCAACGCCGGGTGCTTGCCCCGCACCGCTGTGGTTCGGCGGTTGGTCCAGGCCGAGCCGCACGCCGGACTCGGCCGGGTCCCGCAGCGCCGAGTCGGTGGTGATCCAGGACCTGGAGAACGCCAGCCCCTGGGCCTCCCAGCGGCCGGCGCGTGTCGGCTCGGCGCGGTTCGGCCGGCGCGCCACGCCCGCCGGAGCCAGGCAGCGCCCCGGTGACACCCCAGCCCGGAGTCGACGCTCACCGGCAGCGGCTCGGTGGCCTCCTCGCCGAGCGGCTCGGACGCCAGCTCGCCACAGCGCCAGTGTTGACACGTCGCTGGAGGAGAGCTGGAGCCAGCTGGAAGCTTTCAACCTGCAGCAGCGCGGCCGTCTGGTCAACAGTGCGTTGGACGACGCCGCGTCCTGGACGGCCTGCTCGTCACGTGAGGCCACGCCCACGCGGGGGTGATGACGCCGCTGTCGGTCGTCGATGTGCACCGATGACGCCTTCGCTGGTTGTGACTGTGACATACCAGAGCTACCCGAGTGCCAATGGCTGACGCTGAACATCAAGGTCCACGTGGGGCGACATCCACTACGTGGGCCTGAACGGAATTGAGGTGTTCGACACGACGGCCAGCCGGTCGAGGTGGTCTCGATCCGCGCCGAGCCGCCGACATCAACGTGCTGCCCGAGTATAATCGCGACCCGCGCGTCGTGACCAACCTGGTGGACGGCGTGAACCGCACGCGCGACGACATGCACCTTTGGCTGGCGCCGTTCACGCCCGGCGGCGAACCACCTGGTGCAGCTGGACTTCGGCCGGCGCCACCGGCTGGGCGCTGCTGCGCATCTGGAACTACAACAAGTCGCGCCGCTGCCACTCGTTTCGCGGTGTGCGCCACGTCGAGATCGGCCTGGACGGCGGGGGCCGCCCTTCTGCGTGGAGGTGGCACGTGCGTGCGGCGACACGCTGGGAGGCACGGAGGCGTTCGCGACACGATCCTCTTCACCACCGACGACGCCGTGCTGGAGCGCGTGTCGCGACACGACGCGTCGTTCGCCGCCGAGCCGGCCGAGGCGCCCGAGAACGGTGGCGCAGGACCCGGCTGACCGGCCGCGGTACGGCCGACGCCGACGAGACGGCCGAGCGGGCCCTTCACCTCGGACCTGCAGGACCGACCACCGGCGTCGGCCGGGGGACGGGCCACCGGCCGGCGCCGCACTGCGCGCCCAGCAGCTGCGGCTCGTGCTCACCATCGTCCTGGGGGCGCTGAGTGTGTGGGGGCTCACGGCGCTCGAGCTGCTCAGGGAGAACGGCGAGCCGGTGGAGCTGGCGGCCGCGCAGCTGAGCTGCTCGGCGCCGGGCCGCGGCCTGGCCAGCCTGGTGGACGGCCACCACATGACGTCCGACCCGCTTCACATGTGGCTGGCGCCGTGGTCGGCCGGCCACGCCGTGACGCTCACCGTCCGGCTGGCCGCCGTCACCTGGCTGTCAGGCCTGCGCGTCTGGAACTACAACAGCTGCGCGAGGAGGCCGACCAGGGCGCGCGCACTTGCCTTCTGGAGGTGGACGGGCGCCGCGTGGGCCCGTCAGAGGCGTGCTTCTGCGTCCCGGGCCCGGTCATCTGCACTACAACTTCGGCCAGACGCTGGGCTGGGAGGGCGCCGCGTCGCCGCCGGCGCCGCCCCTTCGGGCGCCGCGGCCGGCGCTCGGCGACGGCCTGGCCTGCGAGGAGTACGAGGCCCCGGAGATGCCGCGCGGCTTCGTCTTCCAGCTGCAGCTCAACTCCAGCTGGGGTGACCCCTACTACATCGGCCTGACGGGGCTGCAGCTGTTCGACCAGGCCGGCCGGCCAATCACGCTCGCGGCGCGGCAGGTAGCCGCCCACCCGGACAGCGTGAACGTGCTGGAGAACATCAGCCACGACGTGCGCACTCCCGACAAGCTGGTGGACGGCGTGACGGACGGTCAAGATGGCCGCCACTCGTGGCTGGCGCCGCTGCTGCCCGACTGTCTCAACCGCGTCTACGTCGTTTTCGACCGGCCGCACACCGTGTCCATGGTGAAGCTGTGGAACTACGCCAAGACGCCGAGCCGCGGAGTACGCGAATTCGGTCTGCTCGTCGACGATCTGGTGGTATACAACGGCGTGCTGGGACGCGCGCCCGAGCCGGCGCGCGCCGGCGGCCGCGGGCAGCCCCTGCCCTACCACACGGTGCTGTTCACGGCCAACCGGGAGCTGGTGCGGCGCGAGCGGCACTCGCTGTGCGGCGCCGCGCTCGACCACCACCACGTGCGGCTGCTGAACAACATGCGGCGGCCGGCGGGCGGGCGCGCGGCGTACGGCAGCGCCGGCGCGGTGGATGTGGACCAGAGCCGCCGGCCGTACACGTCGCAGACCTCGCTGACAGTCGGCCAAGCCACCTGACCGGCCGGTCCGGCCTGGCGCGCACTGCACAGGGCAGACGTGCGCTGCTGACCTCACGGGAAGCTTGTAACGATGCTGTGACCCTGCCACTGAGACGTGTGTATGTTGGTGTGGACCGTGTGGACCGTGTGGCGTAGGTTAGTGTGGTTGTCGCCCCGACCGTTGTGATCCTTCGTAACGTGTCTTCGGATGTCGTGCAGTGGAGATTGTCATTCCGTGCGAATAACTAATTTTGTGTGAATCCTGATAGAGATAGTTCATCCACGAGGTAACAGGAAACTGCACCACTTCTGTATGGAATGCAGACCGTTGACTAGCCGCGTGGTGTTGAAATGGCGTGCAATTTTGTTGGTGGACGCTGTCAAACCGTGCAATGTTGTTGGTGGACGTTGTCAAACCGTGCAATATTGTTGGTGGACGCTGTCAAACCACTTATCGTGAATGTCCGTCTAGTAAGCGCCGCGTCTTGGCAACCCTAGACGAGTTCTGACGGTGAATATCATAATAAGGTCAAATCTAAGAACGCCGGTTTTGAGTGCAATAAATAACAAAACGATAACGTGACACCACTCGCAACTGGCACGCTATGTGACGTGAGTAAATGGAGATACCC